TCTCTCCTCCCCCCCTCCCCCCCTCCATTTCTCAATTAACCTGCATCTTACACTCTCTCTCTCTCTCCCCCGCAGATCCTGGCCTTCATCTGCATCGCCCTCCTGCGCCAGTACGACCTGCACTTCGGCGCCGAGTCGTGGCACAACGCCCAGTCCCTCGTCGACCGCAAACTCGTGGGCGTGATCGCTATCGGCTCCTCGATCCTTATCTCCCTGCCGTTGCTCATTGCCTACATCTTCTTCGCCCATGCGTCAAACCTCCTGGTAAGTGTGGGGGGGGGGATTTATGTGTTTGTTTGTTTGTTTAATTGTGTGGTTTTGTGGTGATGGTGGTGATTTTTTTTTTTTTTTTTTTTTTTTTGCTACGTGTGTATTTCCTAAATAATTTTGGATTCTCAGTCTCTCATGTTTACTTTTTTTTAATATTCTCTCTCTATCTCTTTCTCTCCCCCTCTCTCTCTCTCTCTCTCTCTCTCTCTCTCTCTCTCTCTCTCTCTCTCTCTCTCTCTCTCTCTCTCTCTCTCTCTCTCTCTCTCTCTCTCTCTCCTCTCTCTCCCTCCCTTCCTCCCTCCTTTCTCTCTCTCTCTCTCTCTCTCTCTCTCTCTCTCTCTCTCTCTCTCTCTCTCTCTCTCTCTCTCTCTCTCTCTCTATTTACGTTCTTACCCACTAATTCCGGACTATCATTAGACACTTGGCAAAAAATTAATAAGTAATGATGTGATAATTAATAATTAATCAATAATACACAACTCATGAATTTCATCCTAATCGTTTTATGGATATGAAGATGAGATGGGCACTGCTACTACGATCATTTAATTCATGACGTATCTCTATTGTTATAATCTTGTTTTAATTAACGCAGTGAATAGAGGATAGCGATGAGTCAGTAATACGCACGTTTTAAGGGACCCCGTATGTAAACAATGATTTTTTTGTTTATGATGGGGAGCCTGTATATAAACGTTGATTTTTTTTTATATAGATGCTATTTTGATGTTATTCTGTAGAATTTATTTCCTTTCAGGCTTACAAAGTGAAATCTATGATAATTTCTAATATTTGGAGTTGCATCCTGCAGTTTTGCGATATTTATCCTTGTCCGGATATTTATGTATCAGTATACCTGTTCTCTCTCTCTCTCTATCTATTTATCTATCTCTCTCTCTTCTCTCTCTTTCCCTCTCTCTCTCTCTCTCTCCCTCTCCTCACTAACTCCCACGCACGCACTCACACACCCAAACACACACACATTCACTCACACTCACTCACTCACTCCCATTCACTCAATTACTCTCTTTCCCTCTTCTTCCCTCCCTTCCTTCCTCCTCTAACTCTCTCGCCATTCCCGTTTTGCAAATTAAGGTTCGTATCCTGTGCAACGAGGGTGGGGCATGCAAATTGCACCAACCCTTACCTCAATGAAATTAATGATGATTGATAGGTTAATGAACATCACAATCCGGCCGGATACGTAGCGGCAACTTTTTTTGTAACACCGTTTATGAGGTGCTGTTGCTGGCAGACGCATACGCACACGCACACGCACACGCGAAAGACACACACATCCATGGAGACAGATATGTAGGTGCATGGAAAGACAGATACATATACGCACGCATGCACGAACGCACACACTCACTTACTCACTCACTCACTCACTCACTCACTCACTCACTCACTCACTCACTCACTCACTCACACACACACACACACACACACACACACACACACACACACACACACACAAACCTTTCCATACAAATTCTGACAATTTAACTCTTCTTAACTTTTTCAAATCAAAACTGCCACCTCATTTCTTTTATAAAATCCCCCTTATCTTATCAAAATCTCTAAAAAAGTGTTTAGCTTTTTCTAACAAACAAGAACCAAGGCATTATTCTAAGAGTATCATTTCGAACCAAGATTTCTCTCTAAACAAACGTCATCTTCGCAAAACCGCTGGACGAGAAACGAAGCCCAGTAATCCGGTAGTTTGGTCTTACTGTTTACCCACTTTTGTCTGATCAAACTCAATTTACAGTCATTCAGCCTGTGAGTTCATTTTAACCACTCTTATCATACCAACCTCTTCATCTTATATATATATATATATATATATATATATATATATATATATATATATATATATATATATATATATATATATATAAAAGAACAGCTGCTCAAACTTTCTTGACTGTCACAACTGAATCCAAATAATTTCTGTATCTGAGCTGACGATATATGTACGTGTGTGTGTGTGTGTGTGTGTGTGTGTGTGTGTGTGTGTGTGTGTGTGTGTGTGTGTGTGTGTGTGTGTATTAAATCATCTGTTTTGAGCCGACAGAGAAAGCCTGAAGCCCCGAACTCAAACGACTGAACCATTTCCCTTTTTCTCCCCATCAGGAGGTCCTCTACTGCTTCACGGCCTGCGTGATGAACGTGGCCGGCGGGGCCATGGCCATCGAGAACTACCAGGGCCAGGGAGACAGCGAGA